TAATGGTGTAAAGTTGAGGCTTATTCGAAGGCGTGGTAGTGATGGAAGAGTTTATAATCTTCCGACAGCATCCGAAGTGGCAGCTTTGATTGTTGGAGATATAGACAGTGCTATGGGCGATAGGGATATCATTATTGAAACACAAGATAGAGTATTGCAGCGCATCGATATGAAGCATCCATTATATCTTGGCTTGCAGTATCCATTGTTATTTCCATACGGTGAAGACGGTTATCGTGATGATGTCCAAGGTACTGTATCCAGTGGTAGGAAAAATGCAAGAGCCATGATCAGCATGAAGGAATTTTTTTCGTTTAGACTTCAGATGCGATCTGGAGAATCAGAAATTCTACATCGATCAAGGAAACTTTTCCAACAATTTCTGGTTGATGCATACACTATGATTGAGTTTGAACGGCTTAATTTCATTCGATATAAACAGAGTCATCTGAGAGCTGAGTGGTACAAAAATATAAAACATTCATTAGATAGCGGTGAAGATGCAGCACTGAGCACTGGAAAACGTATCATTATACCTTCTTCATTCACAGGCGGACCTAGATATATGGCTTAAAATTGTAAAGATGATTTCGCAATTTGCCGTTGGGCTGGATATCCTCATCTTTTTATAACAATTACCTGCAATCCTAAGTGGCCAGAAATTACATGATTTGTTAGGGCCAGACAGCCGAACCCTGAAGATCGGCCTGATATTCTATGCAAAGTCTTTAAGTTTAAATTGGACCAGTTGCTACATGATTTAAAAAAGGAAAATATTCTTGGCAGAGTCATTGCATATAAGTATATTATAAACTTGATACTCTTTTTGTTAACTGGATTTTATACAAAAAAATTTACGTCATGCATTGAATCTTTCTATAACGTTGTTCTATTCTTATTATTACTTATGTTATATTCTTTGAATGTAACAAATGTTTGTACAATCGAATTCCAAAAGCGCGGACTACCTCATGCTCATATTCTTCTATTCTTGAACCCTTCAAGCAAAGCTGAAAGTGCTCTTGATATTGATAAATTGATTTCAGCGGAGATACCTGATAAGGAAACGAATCCTACGCTGTTTATGGCTGTCACGAGTTACATGATACATGGTCCATGTGGTCCTGAAAATTACAAATCTCCTTGCATGAAGGACGGACGGTGTTAAAAAAAATTTCCAAAAAACTTCTGCTCCCGTACTTTTATTGACGATGATGGATTTCCTCATTATAAGAGAAGAAATGATGGGAGAGTTGTGAACAAAAATGGTGATGAACTTGATAATCGTTATGTTGTGCCCTATAATGCACACCTTCTTTTAAAGTACCAGGCTCATATCAACGTTGAATATACTTGCCAGAGAAGTGTCATTAAATATCTTTTTAAATACATCCACAAAGGGAATGACAGAGTGACAGCTGCCATAAATCATTCGGACGATGAAATAAAAATGTTTTATGACTGCAGGTACTAAAAATAATCTCCATTGTGTTTTGCTTTCCTACAAAATTGGCACAATTTTTTTGAGAAATTATTAACTTAAATGTTCACCGATTTATTTATTTATGATAGGTATGTCTCCGCATGTGAAGCAGCTTAGAGAATATTTGGATTTGACATTTATTCGAGATATCCCCCTGTTCAGAGATTGCCATTTCACTTGCCTAATGAAAAGAACATTATTTTCAGTGATAATGATTCGTTGTATGATGTAAAGACAAGGGCGGAGTCTAGACTGTCAATTTTTGAGTCTTGGATGGATGCAAATAAAAAATATCCAGAGGTAGGCATCTAACTTATGGAGAGTACCCGACTGAATTTGTTTTCAAAGAAAAAACGCATGAATGGAATCCGAGAAAAAAGGATTTTCCATTGGAAGGATAAATCGTTTTTCTGCCAATAATGGAGAAGATTCATATCTTCGCACCTTGCTTACTTTTCAAAGAGGTTGCACCAGTTATGAAGATCTTAGAACGATCAATGGCGTGGTTTTTCCTACATTTAAGGATGCGTGCTATTCTTTAGGACTTCTGGATGATGACAATGAGTACATTGATGCAATTAAGGAGGCAAGTTCCTGGGGATCTGCTGCTTATCTTAGATGTCTGTTTGCTCTATTGTTATTTGCCAACTCAATGAACAAACCTGAAAAAGTTTGGGAAGAGTGTTGGAAAATTTTATCCGACGACGTTGTTTATCGGCATAGGAAAAGAATAGGACGTCAAGGTACGTGTTATAATAATATTTCATACAATTTTTTTTTGTTTAACCGAAATCAGCATATGCTGCCTTAGTACTTATTAGCTTTTTTTGCCCGTATTCAGCAAATGTTGCTTTAGTGCTTATTTTTTTTTATTTTTTTGCCCGCATTCAGCAAATGATGCTTTAGTACTTATTTCGCTCTCTTTTCTTTCTTTGATTACTTTATCTTTGTTAATTTTTTAATTTTTTTTCCTTTGAATTTTATGCTTTGTCAGATGCAATTCTTACAGAAGAGTCTATAAAAAACATAACTCTTGAAGAAATTGATGAGGTACTGCAGAGCAATGGGAAATGCCTCTCTGATTATCCGTCAATGCCACGCATCAATAGTGAAACTTTGTTTGATATGCAAAATCGATTAGTGTTGGATGAATTAATGTATGACAGATTTGTTTTGGAAGAGGAGCATAAAAGACTAATTAATTCCCTCACTGATGAGCAGAAAGCTGTTTATGATAAAATTATTTCAGCAATTACGGCAGGTAATGGAGGGTTATTTTTCCTATACGGGTTCGGTGGCACAGGAAAAACATTTATTTGGAATACTGTTTCAGCATCTATTAGATCAAAAGCTGGAATCGTACTTAATGTTAATTCTAGCGGAATTGCTTCCCTTCTGCTTCCTGGAGGACGAACAGCGCATTCTAGATTTCATATTCCTATTCAAATCAATGAAGATTCAACGTGTAATATAAGGCCGAAATCTACTATAGCTGAGTTGCTGTCAAAAACAAAGTTAATCATTTGGGATGAAGCTCCAATGGTAGATAGATTTTGCTTTGAGGCTCTGGATAGGACACTGAGAGATGTTCTTAGAATTTCTGATACAAGCTGTGTTGATATGCCATTTGGTGGAAAAGTTGTTGTTCTAGGAGGTGACTTTCGGCAAATATTACCTGTCATTCCTCATGGCAGCAGACAAGATATAGTTCATGCAACCATCAATTCTTCTCATCTATGGTCCCATTGTCATTTATTAACTTTGACCAAGAACATGCGTCTTAATTCTAGAAGTAGCGCTCACAATTTAGAGGAAATAAAAGAATTTTCTGAGTGGCTACTTAAAGTTGGGGATGGTAATCTTGGAGATGATGTTGATGAAGAATCTATTATAACAATTCCAGATGAATTGTTGATTAGAGAATCGGAAGATCCGCTGTCGGATATGGTTAATTTTGTTTATCTGAATCTCTTGGATAATATTTTGGATCAGACCTTCTTTAAAGAACGTGCTATTCTAACTCCTAAATTGTCCGATGTTGCTATGCTAAACGAGCACCTAATGTCTATGATTCCTAGTGAAGAAAGGACTTTTTTGAGTTCGGATAAAATTCTTAAGCAAGGTGGGACTTCCTCTGTTGAGGATGATGAAATCACCCTTGAGATCTTAAATACATTATCATGCTCAGGGATTCCTGATAATAAATTAATCTTGAAAGTTAAAGTTCCAGTAATGCTATTAAGAAATATTGATCAGTCGAGAGGTTTATGCAATGGCACGAGATTGCTTATTACAAAATTAGGGAATCATGTTGTTGAGGCAATTGTACTTACAGGAAGCAAATATAGGGGAAACTGTGTTAATCCCTAGAATGACGATGAGCCCATCGAGTCATACATTTCCTGTAAATTTCCAAAGAAGACAATTCCCCCTGATTGTATCGTTTGCCATGACTATCAACAAGAGTAAAGGACAATCACTTTCACATGTTGCAATTTATCTCCCTAAGCATGTCTTCACTCATGGGCAATTATATGTGGCACTGTCTAGAGTAAAGAGTAAGCATAGATTGAAGATATTGATACTTGATGAAAATGGCTGCGTTACGAATAGAACCCTTAATATAGTTTACAAGGAAGTATTTCAAAGACTGCTATAGTATATTGGGTTCTTTCTTCAAAGATATAACTTCGTTGTATGGTACAGGTAAAGACAAAAAAAATGACTGTTTATTCGCGTCTCTTTTCTTTATCTATCTTCAAAGATATGACCTTTATTATCCTATTTTCTTTCCTATTTTTAATGTAACAATGAATGACTGTTGTGTTATTTAAAAAAATGACTGTTTGGGACCTTTGAAATACTGACAAAATGAGTTCGGCCCGGAGGGCCGACCCACCACGCCAAACAAACCAATTTTTTTTCCCGTGCATCGGCACGAGTAATTCACTAGTTAACATAAAAAATAATTCTGGCATAAGTAAGTAAGATGGGTTAAGTTTGGAATAAGAATTAATCAATGTAATATAACACGTTATTTTTGGAGATTAAATGAGTTGGTCCATTAAGTTAAGTTAAACACATGTTACCATATCTAGAAGGTATGCACAGTTCATCAAACATATGGGTCGAGTTGTTTTGGTGAATAAAATGGGTTAATTCCATCTAAACTATTTGGTTTTGTATGCAGGATAGGGTCAATTTTTAGATCACCCACTAGTCAATTTTTTAAAATTCCGCTGGATCGCTGACATTCTTTCTCTCTTTGAGAGTTAGGATCAGCAATTAGATCTTGCATGCACCTTGATTTTTTTGACACTTGAAATTCGGTCGAGTCTCGATGACTCCTGGGATCAGAAAGTGTCACTGCAACATTTACAAAAAAAAAAAAAAAGTTTACACATGAAACAACATCGTTTGGTGGGTAAAATAAAAAAAAACCCGATGCTGCCTAAATCTAGAACTAGATATAAAATATGAATCGTTCTTCTTCTCTTATGATCTTCTCTCCCAAACCCAGTCACCTTGATCTGGTGATCTCTGCCTCTCCTCTGTTCTGGTGGTTCCTCCTATCCTCTGCGGCCTTCTCTTTCTCTTTCGTCATTCTCTCTTGAGTAAAGAATCCCCTTTCACATGTTGTTACATAATTTTTATGCATCACTTCAATGTTCAGTTGTTGCTGTTTGTGACTTCAAATGATATAGATATTGACATGCTATATGGTTTAACACTTTGATTAGTTTGTGTAATATTGACTTGTAGATGTAATTGGTTGATTTATGTTAAGTATATTTTGAATCTTTAATGATTGTTGGTTTGATTTTTTTTAATTTTTCATGTAAAATATATATTTTTATTTTTTAATATATAAAATCAGGTTAACGAAGTGACCTTTGACCTCGACTGAGTCAATGTTCGGGTCAAGTTTCTGAACACTACCAGTCATATAATATATGAATGTTTACTATATTTTATTTTTATAACAGGGTATTTGTGTTTCTCGTTAGGCCAATCCCGTTACTTTTCGGCAATAATATTCTTAATTTGTAGTTAACAAATTCGGACGAGATAAAAACGAGAGGATTTAGGCTATGTTTACTGTTTTTTAAAAATAGTTTTTTGGTTTCAAAACAAACAAAAAAACCCTATTTTATAAAAATAAAAAATAAAATTATAATTGTTTTTTTATTGATCAAAATTTTGGACATAATATCATGTGTATGTCAGTGGGTATGGTTAGAGAGATTTTATGGCTATGCTCCTTTGGAATTTATTGTTCATATAGATAAATAATTGGTAGAAATCCAATGAAAATTTAAGTGATTTTGGTGTCAACACTCAGACAAATTTTCAATGATGAAAGAATGATAATTTGTGAAGAAAGTCTTTGATGGATGATGTAATTGATTGGTGGTTGTTTGAATTGTAAATTAAGAAGTTTTATAAGATTTTTAAGCATATGAATTGTTGAAAATTCCCTCGGCCCTTGGCATGAATATATTCGACCATATTGAGGAAATTAAGGAAAAATGTGGTAAATTATGTTGTGGCTTGATGGAGAGTGTGTGAATATAAAGGTGATTTGGTTGATTTGGTTAAATAATGATTGGAATGATTTGAATTCATGAAAAATCTTCCTTGGAGTCTTTAAGGTAACCCTCGGCCTTATGGCTTTAAAAATGATTGAGATTGTTGTAAATTATAATGGAATGTAATTGTGGTGTATCATGGTGTGTGGATGCTTATGAAGCAATGAGATTGGTTGGTTTGGATTAAAACATAATTGGTTACACTTTGGGGGTTCAATGGCCATGAGCTAAGATTTTTCTAAGAGTTATTGCTTAAGTTTGCTTGTGTATTCTTAAGCATGTGATTGATCATATTGTGGCCTGATCATTATAGGTTGACTCTCTTTGATCCAATCTTGGAAGATTAAGCTTTGGAAGCTTCTTTTTGTTGGTTTATGAACTTAATTGTGGAACTTTTTACAGGTAAACTTCTATGTGTTCTGGGGTTAGTCCTTTTATGTGCTCTGCCAAGTCCTTTGGGAATGGTTGGATTTGTGATATTTGATAATGTGTGATAAAGTATGATCATGCATTCTTACCTAATGTTTGACATGCATTGTGGCATGTTATTTGGTATCTATACTTGTATCTTTGGCCAGTAGATAGATATTGTGTGCACTTCCACTAGATAGGTCTCTAAGTAGGGAGTTCCAGTTGGCGCGGTGCCTTAGAGTTGTTAACGCTCTAGAAATGTCTCGAGAGTTATATGATGAGATCCTTACATAATTAGAGGTGGCAATATGGGTTAAACCCGATGGGTCAACCCGCCAAAACGGGGAGGGTAGGGTTACATATTTCAACCCACCAACCCGCCCCATTGGGTTGTGGGTCAAAACGGGTTGGCGGTGGGTCGGGGCGGGTTGGCCCGCTTAGACTTGTCAAAATGGGCTCCAGCCCGTGGGACAACCCATATAATCCAATTTCCAACCCTGTGTATTTTTGGCCCTATCAATATAGGGCTGCTTTCAGCCCTAGCCCTACATGACCCTCTCATCCCTGAGGCCGGATGAGGCTACCCGTGGATCAAGCCAAAATTAACAAAAAAAAAAAAAATTGAGCAGACGACCGCACAAGAGTAAAAAGGGTTGAAACCCATCAAGGGTCATATAGAGGACGTCGGACGACCCCACAAGACCATATATCATTATTTTTCATTGAAGATGGAGAGATCCAACAACCAAAACAATTTATTTCAAGCTGCTTTTCTTTCTTTTGATGGGTATTCAAACACATTTGTAACATTTGGAACATGAATTTCACTCTAACTCAAGCATATAGTTCATCGCTCAGCTACTTCTTCAAGCGTTAATGGTTCAACAGGCTCCTTGCAGCTAAAAACTAAAAAAATGATAGAGATCTGTCTCTGCTATCACAACCAGATAGATCTGCTAGAGAGAGAAAGCAAGGGAGAGAGATGGTGAATATTTTAATTTATTTTATTTTAATTTTTTATCTGAAAAAAATATATAAAACAATGTGGGATTGGCTTCCTCCACAGAGGAGAAAAAAATGGTATTTTTATTTTTCTTCTAAAATTATTGATATAGTAAAACTTTGAAATCTTTTATCAATTTGACCCATTGGACTTGAGTTGTTGTTTTTGAAAAATTTAATTATAGATTTGAAAAACGTATTATTTGGAGCATACTTTTGAATAATTATTTTTATAAAGTTATATTTTATTATTGCAATTGACAAAAATTAATTAATTTTTGAAAGCCCACGGGTTGGTCCTAACCCATAGGGCTTTTAGCCCATATGGGCCTTTATCATAGCGGGCCTTTTGACCCTGTGGGCTTTTTTGCCATAGCCTGTGCGGGCCAGGGCCCAACGGGCCGAGCTAGCCTGTTTTGATAGCTTTAGGCCCGCTGGGTCAATTTTTATTTTTTTTACTATTAAGTAGTATTTTATTTGTTTTTAAGCTTTTGTGATATCCAATTTTTGTTATCTTGGTACTCTCTAGAAAAAATAAAGAAGAAAAACTTTATTTATGACATAGGTAATCTATGTATGAAGATAAAAATAAGTTTGTAAAGAATGTCTGACTGAATATTAGCATACAATTAGACTTAAGATTGGAAAAAAATAAAAGGAATGTGATATGAAAATAAGTAATATTATAATATTAATAAAATATAATTTATTTTTTATTTTGTAAGCAGGTTGACCCACCAACCCACTATAAAAGCTGGGCGGGTTGAGGTTTTCAACCCACATTCAAGAGGCGGAGCAGGGCGTGTCAACCCACTTTTGGCGCGTTGACTCGGGAAGGGCGGGTCGACCGTTTTGCCACCCTTATACATAATATCCTTGTTGGGATGTTCTTGGATGTTTTTCCAGTGACAAGATCCTTAAGCAATAGTTCTTGGATGTTTGTCCGATGATTTTTGTGATTAGAATCCATGAGTAGTAGTTCTTGGATGTTTGCCCAGTGATTGTTGAAATTTTGTATTATATATTATACATTTGTTATCATTGTATGCACATTGAGTGAACCATTGGGTGTAGTGACCTCCATGACTCGTCGTTTACTGAGATTGTCAAATCTCACCTGCGTCATAGGACATTATTTTCAGGTACCACTAGTGCAGTTGGAGAAGCTTTGGGCAAGAAGCCCACTTATTGGGGATACGAGCATATGGAGTATTTTGACATGTACATAGGAGTGCATGAGGACTTACTTGGCATTCAAAATGTTATTTTGATGCACATTGTAGTTGCTTATTTGGTATCATTGACGTAGTGCATGAACATTGGTCTTGTATGTAATAGTTGTATTTACTTAGTTGTTCTAATCTTAAT